CTGAAAAGAGGTATGGCAAAAATGTCCCTGCATACTGTAAAGTTACTTGAGCTCAAATCATCTGCAGATGATGGAAGAACATTTCTGTAACAATCACATTCTTCCTCTCTGTTTATGTCCCATTACCCTTCGTGTGCTCTTCATTTTGTTCAGGAGCTGGTGCTTGTAATGTCGCAAAATATTTCTTCTCTCATCTTCACAGTGAGAATCAGTGACAATTCAAAGCAAACCGTTCCTCTTTACACAGAAATCTCTTGTTTATACAGGCAGGATCAAAACTGTAATTTGTCTTGTGATGCAAATGTCACACTCTCCGATTGTGAGTAAATTGCTACAATTTTATGAACATGTTGTTTTAAAGCAACGAGTCTTCTCTTTCTTGTGGTTCATGGTGGACTCAATCAATGAAGCAGCTCCTCACTAACAAGCATCATTGAAACGTTTTTTCTTTTTATTTTCTATTGATTACAGTGATAATGACTTTTTTATCCTCTACTAATTAGTAATCAGTGTAATAATAGTAAAAATTTCTCTGGTTTTGATATTCCAGTGTTCTATAGAGGTTTCTATATTGTGTGCTTATACAGAAGATGCAGACCTTAAAACTATATGCTTACTGGCAATCATGTTTAATCTGATTTTTGTCCAGAACATCGCATTAAATAAATAAGTACCTGGTAAACCTTGCCAGCTTTTTCATGGCTGACACTGCCAATGTGTTTCCCAGTGCAGTCTACCATGACCATAATAGTGACCTTATCAAGTCCCTGCATATTAGTGTAATTTGTCATGCACAGAGGCAAGAACCACATGAAATAATCTTATGGCGTGAAATATAAACTCTTAAACAAATAGATTCAGAAGGCAACATTTTCCCTACCCACACACCTTTACTATACTGCCTCCTGACTAGTGCACTCAAAACCAGCTCTGTTTGGGATCATGTTTTCCATCTATTTTCTGCTGTTGAATGGAGATCATGCAGTGTTCTTGTACCAAATCAGTGTGGCAGTTTATGCCAGTTTTCTTATAAATGGGGAAGGAAAGGATGGACAGACCTGCAGCACATGTTACCTTTTTAGGAGGCTTTAATAGCTTTTCTTTGGAGTCTGACTGTGGCTGAGTTGTCATTCTCTAAGCAGTAACTGTTTACATCCGTCTAATAAAGTTGTGGATTTTAGCAGCTATTTTTTCCTGGAGGGTTTCTTTACAGCTGAAGCTGTTGCTGCTGTTGGCAATACTCACTTAGGATAGAGTAGTTGGCATACTTCAAATAGGAGAGCTTAATCCTGGGGATTGGGTTAGCAGAAACTTTGGGCAGTTCAAGAGAGGAAGTGCATATCTTCATCCTGAGGCAGACTAACCCTATACTTCAGTATAGGCTGGGAACTGGCTGGCCTGAGCAGCAATCCTGCTGAAGAGTGTGCAGGGGTTACAATGGACACAGAGCTGAATGGGAGCCAGCAGTATGTGCTGATGGTAAATCAGGCAAACTACACAGGGGGGCTATGCTCAGAGGAGTCTGGCCAGCAGATGGAGAGAGCTTACTGTCTGCTGCTACTTGGGGATACTGAAGCGGCACCTGCAAATATGTGGTCTTGGTCCCACCAGTCTAAGATGGACATTGAGGCAATAGAATGAGAGCAATGGGAGGCTACCAGGACAACTAAGAAATGACAAAGCTGAAGTCTTCTCAGTAGTGATGGTAGTTATAAAGAATAATGGCCACTAAAAGAACTCAAGGCATTTTTGATAGTGCAACATTTGAACAGTTTACCCAGGCAAGTTGTACAATCCATTAACAGAGGTTTTCAAGACTGGTAGAAAGACCAAATTATCTGATCTAGTGTTAGTGAATTACCCCATGCTTCATGTGGTACTAAACCATCCACAGAATTTCCTCTATGTCTATAACCATCCTGTGTTTGAGTTGAGCTCTCTTGAGGTGTGAAAGAAGCTCTGTCCCTTGTGCCATCATCAGTTCCCCTGCTCAGTAGGTCCACAGAGCAGAGCTCTGCCTGATTCTAAAACTGAGACTCAATGGTGCATTCCTTAGAGATGTCCTACAGCTTGGATCAGTCTCATTTGTGATACAGCAGCAAACACTACCAGTTCCTCCTAAGAAGAGAGACTGCACATAAGTTAAGCTGAGGAAAAGCAAAGATGCCATTAAAATCCTTGGTTAGCAAACAGTGCAGATTTACAGCTATGACTAGGACAGCAGCCACAATTCTCAGCCTCATGTGTTTTCAAAATATTAACATCAAGTTCAGTTGAAGCCTGTTGGAGCTCAAGTGCATTGCTGCTCCTTTTTCCCTTCTTAAAGGAGAAGGAATGAGCAGAGCAGGAAGAGGCTCCCAGCTGCAGGCAAAGACAGTTTAATACAGCGAGCTGATTTTCACTCTGTGACTATGAGCCTTGCTGGCAGGCATTATAGCCACATTTGGAAGTGTTAGGTTATAAACTTAGGGAGTTACAAGCCAAAAGGCTTGTGTAGGCTAAAGGCTTGGTTGCTGAAATATTTTATACACAGCAGAACAATTCTAATCTACATTTGAAGTTTGCTTATTCTGCAGTCCTACCATGAGAAAAAGATGCAGTTGCAGACTACCTCAGGCTGAGGAGGATGGTCTGAGTGTAGCTCTTCTATTGAATGCCCTGAACACTGGGATTGAAGCCAGAATAAAGTTACATCTTCTGCAGTGTTACAGAGTTACCCTTTCATTTCCTTGTGTCTTCCAACAAGGAAATAAAAGAAATGAAACATATAATTTTTGCTATGAAATGAAACGTATTATTTAAGGTCAAGTGGAAAATTTTTATACAGCAGGAGTTGTTGTCTTTGACATGCAAGAAGAAAGGGTTTGTGTTTTGCCTCAATGCAAGCCAATACTTGTTTCCAGTTTTTAGTTTGACAACTCATTTTCTTCTAACTAGAAGTGCATGCTAAGAAAGGAACAGAAATTATAGGGAGAGAGTAGCCTGTGTTAAAAGTAATTGACTGAACTTGACCTATAGAATTGTATTCTGTGTCTGCCTCTGTCACAGTTTCCCAAAAGGACACTCTGGGCACTTTTTGGATAAATGTGTGCTCCTCAGTTTTGGGAAGTCTGGTTTGCCATGGATTGTAATTTATAGTGAATATATATATTATATATAATAATAGATAAGATATTATATATGATAATATATAATATCATATATATTATATGCAAATATACACATTCTATAATATTTGTATTATCTGTAATTTATGAAATAATATACAAATAATTCAGCAAATAAATATATAATGTTATACATAGATTTTATAAAGTGTTTGGCATGCAGACCTAAGACTATAATTTTAAATTTTATTATGGAATTGCAATACCTTTAAAGCAAACCAAAACATGTTAAAAAAGAACACAAAATTCTTGAATGGGATACCCTAATTTGTGAGTGATTTAAAAAGAGAATCATTGTTTTTCACTTCCTTTGTAGAGAATGCAGATAAGAATACTCTGTTGTCCTTTATAAAATAAAAATAAATAAATATTTGTGATGTTTCTGTGTGCTATGATGACATGAGCTTTACAAAATCCTGCCAGGAGATTGTTAATTATGCCTTCAGAGCAGGATTTGAATGGTATTTAATAGATTAAACATGTGTCAAACCAGAAGGAGAAAACAAAGTGGTAATTTAGTCAGCACTACTCAGGTGTGCCCTCAATGAGATAGGGATCCCTTGATGATGTAACTACACAAAACAGGTAGACAAAAACAGTTTATTAAGTTGCAGAGTAATGCTAGTTTTGGTATTTCTTAACTACCCAAGGTGAATTGAGTCTGCATTTCCTTCAAGAGGTCTTACTTCAAACTATGGAGAGAAAACCTCCCTCATCTGGGCTGCTGTCAGTCCTTAGAAATTACAAATTTGAGCACCTAGCCCCCATATGAAGGAAATCCATGTATATAAAATAGAACATGAGAATCAGAAGTGATGGGGTGGTCTGTAGCCAACACATCAAAAGATCTTAGTGTGGGATAGTGGGCACCTTTTTGATGGATGTGGATTCACATTTAAGGCCTTGGGCAATAAAATTATCTGACAATCCATTAGCCTCCTTTTGAAATATAACAGTCCCTTGAAAAGTAAGTAGCACTACTCAAGTCTCCTATGGTCTTTGCTCTCAGTGAAAAAGAGAACATACTTGAAAAGAACATTGTTACTGCAATGTCAGCAAAAATACCATACTTAATGGTAAAAACAAAAAAGGAATCTGACTTAAAGGAAGTGCTGTGAATGTTAGGAATAACTGATTCAAAAACTCATTTGTGATTGTTTCCACATGAAGATTTTAGTATCTGATTGTTTCATTTGAAGAATCAATTTTGATGTTTCTATACAATCAAAATATTTTTAAAAATAGAAAAAAGTTATACACATGGTTAGGAACCTAAAATGACTGTTTTAAGAGGTAGTTACCTGAGTGCCCACTGCATGCTAATGAACTCGTTAAAAATATGATATGAAGTTTCAGTTTTTCTTCTCACTGAATACAGGAATTTGCCAACCTAAAGCAAGATGAAAATGAATAAAAAAGAGGCAGGGGCATAAAACTAGCATTAGCCTTCACAGTAGTTTCTTGTTTGTAAGCAAATGATAGCCACTTGACCTGTGTTGAAATATTTAGGTATTTTGCCCATCTTACATTTGAACTTTCAGACTTCTTTCTATTCACATTTGCTTACATGAACTGAGCCAGCTTTTTAAAAATGCATCGGTGATTTAATGGAATGAGCTATGTGTTATTTTCAAAAAGTAAATGATAATGACATAGACTCTCTGTAGTCAGCATTGGTAGGAGGAGTAGGAGGAGTTAACACGATGCGCTTGCACGTGGTTAGAACAACAGGATAATTGGTGGAGGTTTCGTGGCACGTTTGAAAGCAAGACCTAAATTTGCTTGTGTTTAATTTCTTGCAGGCTGTTTCCAGCTCTGTAATGTTTTTCGGACCCATGAGATGGAAATTGAGCAGTGCTTGCTGGAGTCGCTCCCCCTGGGCCAGCGGCAGCGGCTGGTCAAGCGGATGCGCTGTGACCAAATAAAGGCGTACTACGAACGAGAAAAAGCTTTCCAGAAACGGGAGGGCTACGGGAAGAAGCTGAAACATGGAAAGAATCAACGAGTTCATTTTAATCTTGCTGATATGATACAGGATGCAATCATCCGTCATGATGATAAAGAAGGTACGTATTAATGTGCTGAGATATTTTCCTTTGTACAGTAGAAGTTTCAGAGGAAAAACTATCTTGTTCTGCTCATCTATCTTTAAGTAAAATGTAAAATACCAATCATAAAGTGATTGTCTCAATAAAATATGCAGGCATGTGTTGCATATAACATGTTACAACTCTTTACTGAAATGGTAAGGTGTGGAAAGTAAACAGAAACCCAATGGATTTATTTTGAGATTAATATGAACTAATATATTTCAAAACAAGTAAGGACTATGATTCTGTGATTATGCCTGGCCTCTTACATTCCTACAGGAGCCACAGAATTTAATACAAGTTACTTTGAAAATTAGGTTCTCATTTTTAGCCAAAATTTGGAGTAAGGGATCCTGCTGTTAGTGACCTTGGTGTGTCTAGAGCAAGGAGGAGGTGTTGGCCCACAGTCACACCAGATAGAAGGTCATCTTTCTGTTTGTGAAATTATGTTTATATCCTTTTGAAATATGTAACCACACTTTAGGGCTCTGTTTTTAGGTTCCTGGCGAATCCATGGTGCAGCTGATTGTAACCTGAGGAATTTATGTACTCCTCAGAAGTGAACCAAACCTTGCAGTAAGAATTTCACAACTTTTAGAAGCCCCCAGAAATCCCCAGACTGTTGTGTAGTAGGGAGGGATATAAGAAAAGAACTAGTGCAATGTTGTTGGCAAGTCCTTTGCAAACAGAGTTTGTGTCAGTTCTTTGTAATCACATTAACGTAAAAAGGGGAGACTCTGAGACAGACACACATTGTGCAAAGAACTTGACAAGTTTCTCTTAATTTTTATCAGTTTGATCAGGTATGTCTTTTTTACTCACTCCTGAATCTTCATTTTATTGTGCATTTGCTCTATCATTGCTTATCACTCAGGTATAATCCTACACATTTAGACCTTTACAATAAATGAATCAAAAAACTCTTCAAGTGAGTGTACAAGGCATCATTCATAACTAAATTTAGATAAAATTCACAACCTTTCATTCCACTCTCCTAGTGTGTGCAGGAATTATAAACAAAGATCTTCCTCCATGTCCCCAAAGCTCCAACTTTCTTTAAAAATCAAGCAGAATACCAGGTATGACTTTTAACATTCTGTAAAAGTCAGACACTTGAGGCTATTTTTGACATTCACACTGAAGAAATGTAGTTTGATTATTGCAGTGGTGGTAGGGCATCAACAGTTTTTTGTGTTGCCTATACTTGGCCTTGAGCTGCACCTGAATCAGAATATAGAGTTCAGCAAGTGCTGAGACTGAATAATATAAGCAGAAAGGGAATGTACCTCAGGCAGAGGAAAGTAAAATGGAGAAAAACCAGGAATGTTGTCCTGCACTTGAAACAGATAAAGCAGGTCCCCAGAAGCAAGGAGCTCAAATAGCCCACAGATAACAAAGTCCTGAATTTGTGGTCTGTGGTTCTTTCACAGGAGTATGAAAATGTGTGATTGTTGTCTTCAGACAGCTTGGGGACCTACAAGTGCCTGTCTGTTTTGTTTTTAGCCAAATGTTCCCATAACCTGTTTGTTTTGGGGTGAAAGATGCTACATTAAGATTTTTTATCATTAAAAAAACCCCAAAAAACGAACCAAAAACCCAAACCAAAACAACAACAACAAAGTTTCAACTCACAGACATGAAAGCTGCTTTCCTACTATTGTTGCTGAGTGGAACATCCAACCAGAATTCCTCAGTGAATATGCCTACATTAGAATTTCTGTTCAAATTAGACATATTCTTTTGTAATAAATATCACATCCGTTTACTGTGTTTGGTCGTGTTTATGGAGCATGTAACGTAGTTTCCTTTTAGGCAGAACTGTACTGGAAGATGTGGTCTGGAAGTACAGCTAGTGCCCCAAGACAGTAATGAGCTTTCAGTCCATAAGGCTCAGCTAGACAGAGCCTGAAGTAATCCCAGGAAGTAGTGGGCTATAGCTGGGGAAGTTAGGCTTTTGCTACAACCTGTTTCTCTTGTCTATTTAATCATATTTTACAATGTACTCAGCAATCAACAGCATTGGATAGGTGTAAAAGACAGCTAAGAAAGGTGTTCTGCAGCTCTATGAATGAAATGCAAAAAATGTAGTCTAGAAAGCTGAAAGAGGGCACAACAAAGGTGTAGCAGCAGTTGTCCAAGTGAAATCCAGGGGTTCAGTTTTTCTGAAGTATCATAAATAGACTGTTAGACTGACAGCACATCTTGAAGTGGTGAATTGTAGTTCTGGTTTGGTAGACGAGATAAATTGGACACATTACTATATATAGAAAGATGAATTTATAACATAGAGACATTTCACAAGTGAATCTGGTCAGAATTTCATTCTTACAAATTCATTGTCTTTGTTATTCATGAAAAATGTAAAATGTCTTCTCCAAAATTACTATAGCAGCTGCTATTGGGCACAAAATGTTACTGCATGCTAACAGGAGTGACCATTAGTTTGCTCTAAAATTCATTTTAGAATGGGCTTTGAGAAATTTTTATTAGTGACCTGCTTTGTCTCAAATTTATAAATTAAATATATGCTCATTTGATTTCTCAATGAGTTAAAAATCAGTGAAATTATTTAATTAACTATATATTTTTTTTACTATTCATAACTGTTCTTTAGTATTTTTTCTGACCCAGGGAGATTGAACGGGAATCCTCCTTCTCTGTCTCCTTGCAGCATCCTGTAGTTTCTCTGTTTTAAAGCAATATGGTTTTACTGCTGTTGATGGGCCACATTCACCCACACTACTAGCAGTGAGCATTTTGGGAGATTCTGCAACTATTATTCTCAGTGTTGACATGCATAGAAGCAGAATCTGATGAATAAGTGAACCTGCTGTTTTTTGACCCTGATTTTGTACATCTTTACTGCTGGCAAGAGAATACTTCTAGTTAATTTTCCTTTAAATACTATACATTTCTCTTCTGTGAGATAATAAATCCCTAATAAAAATGGACAGCAGGAAATTTGTCTTGCTGACAACAGTCGTATAAATGTACTGCAAAATGGGAGATGTATCCAAGCAGGTTTCTGCATCCCGTTCCTTCCCAATGTGAACTAGGTATGCTTGCACCTACATGTGGCATTACCATGTGGACTCAGGTCTTTCTGATACACACACAAGTCAAACATCGGTATTTGCTGAGCCTGCACATCAGCTGAGACTCCTCTACAAGCAATTAGGAAATGAACCGAGCACTCAGGAAATAAACTGAGGGAGTCTCAGTCTGAGTTTCTGCTTCAAATACAAGGTAGTCGAATGAAATCCTTAGTATTTGGGCCTCTTGAGAATAAGGGGTATGCATCCTTCCTGAGGCAAAGGTGCAGTTATTGGCACTGACAGCACTGAGAAACAGTGAAAGATGTGATTTTTGGAACATGAGCTCATAGATAACCTTGCTACAATGAACACAGTAACTAAAAGTGAACCTGAAAGCCCTATACCTGAAATCTAACATGAGGGAAACTAAAGGACTAGCTTTAGTTTCTATAATCTTTTGGTATACTCTGTAACCCATCTTGTCAGTCATCCTGCAGAATTACTCAAGATGTAGGATTGTCAGAAAATCTTTGTATGCAGTAAGAATCTTTTGTTGTAAAACCTCTGAGTTGTGATGCAGCTATGATGTGTACCACAAAGTCTGCGGGCTGGCAGGTGGTGCTAGGTCGGGGTACAAAGTGCAGAGAGACATCAAATTCAGTCTGGAGACAAAAGAGGTACTCCTGTGAAAATCAGCATTACAAAAGGGAAATGCAGATTCCCTAAACCTATTTAAAGCCCATTTCATCCTTCTGATGAGCAATATGCTGATTCTGTGACAGCATTGTGATTCTAAATAGCAGCGATACCAGGGTGAGTGAGTGTTAGCATAATGCCGAGTCTCTAGTCATGATTCTTTGTTCTTTTGTAGTGACTCCCTGTTTTAGTCAGCCCCCCTCAATTCTCCCAGAGTTTATTCCTAGCCCTGCAGAGTTGCCCTGTGACTTTGCCTTTAGAGATAGAATGCTGGGATGTGATGGCTGGGGACAGCCTTACTCTCCCTTCTCTCACCAGGCTATGTCAGAAAAAGATGATTTTAAAAGAAGATGATATCAATATTCTACTTTTCCTGCAGTGTTCACTGCCGGGGCAGGTCTCCCAGGACTGGGTCCTAGCCCCAGCTGCTGGCTGCCGAGCAGTTTCATAGTGCAGGAAAGAAAACAGAAATCCTATCTCACTTCCCTGTGATGTCAGTATCACTAGCTGTTTGAAAGATGTATTATTATTGTGAGATTGGTAGTATCATGATATTTGAAAGGGTTGGAATAATCAATATTAATGGAAGGGTTTGGTATCATTAGTTATTTTAATGAGCACTATATAACGTACAATGCTATGATAAATTTCAGTTAAATTAATTAAAAAGGTGTGTAAGTGAGCATAAAAGGGGGTACAGGTGGGGCTGGTGCTAAACTGTAATTTACATCTGAACAACTCGGGGCTATAAAGAGGGCTCAGGGGAGGGGAAACAAAATCTATTCAGAAGAAGAATGTATCTTTAATTTAAGGTGGCAGATGAGTTGACTATTAGCTTTCATTAGGAGACTATATCAGAGATGTTATAATAATCCTTCCTATTTGTGGAAAAAATATAAAAATAATCTGAAACAGAAAACTGAGGCTGAAACTGAGCTGAAATAAACCATTTTTTTTATTATTATTTCTTTGCATTGCTTTCAAGTCTACTGATTTCTTATTTTTGCATCTTATTACATTAGGCTTGGTTATGCTTTACTGTCATTTTTCCAGTAGAAACAGCTTGGTTGGTTGCATACAAGATGTTCTGTAAAACAGTGGATTGCACTGACTGTGTCTGGCAGATATCTCAGGACTAGTTTACTGATCCTCAACAATCAGTTTTAACATTGCCAGCAGTCTTTTTGGAAAGCTGGAAGAAGCAGGATGTGGGCAGTAGTGACAAGTTGGTGAGTGCAAGGCTCCATTATGTGAGACCTGTTGTCAGGCAGCAGTGTGTAATGTAGACTCTTCTCACCTTTATAATTAAGAAGAATGGGGACATATTCAGGTAATCTGTCTGCTGTTGGGATTCTGACTTTCAGACTACATTTTTAGATGTTTGATGATACTTCCTCTTCTCAAACTGATTGCAGGCAGCTTTTCTGCTTTTTACATATTGCATGTTCTGGGATGAATGGTGAGAAAGCAAGGCTCCAAGCATGGTTTTTAAAATTCCAATGCCTGGTTTTTAAAATTCACCAAATCCTTGGATGAGGATTGCATTTTTGTGTGCCAGAAGTTCAGAGGCATCTTTGCTACTAGAAGAAACTGAATGATAAAAGAATATGTTTACTAAAAGAGTTTTACAGAGGAAAGAGGTGAAAAACAGGTGTAACATTAAATCTTTCAAGTTAGGTCCTTATCACTAAGGCAGAGTTTCCTTAAATTNTGTATTATCTGTAATTTATGAAATAATATACAAATAATTCAGCAAATAAATATATAATGTTATACATAGATTTTATAAAGTGTTTGGCATGCAGACCTAAGACTATAATTTTAAATTTTATTATGGAATTGCAATACCTTTAAAGCAAACCAAAACATGTTAAAAAAGAACACAAAATTCTTGAATGGGATACCCTAATTTGTGAGTGATTTAAAAAGAGAATCATTGTTTTTCACTTCCTTTGTAGAGAATGCAGATAAGAATACTCTGTTGTCCTTTATAAAATAAAAATAAATAAATATTTGTGATGTTTCTGTGTGCTATGATGACATGAGCTTTACAAAATCCTGCCAGGAGATTGTTAATTATGCCTTCAGAGCAGGATTTGAATGGTATTTAATAGATTAAACATGTGTCAAACCAGAAGGAGAAAACAAAGTGGTAATTTAGTCAGCACTACTCAGGTGTGCCCTCAATGAGATAGGGATCCCTTGATGATGTAACTACACAAAACAGGTAGACAAAAACAGTTTATTAAGTTGCAGAGTAATGCTAGTTTTGGTATTTCTTAACTACCCAAGGTGAATTGAGTCTGCATTTCCTTCAAGAGGTCTTACTTCAAACTATGGAGAGAAAACCTCCCTCATCTGGGCTGCTGTCAGTCCTTAGAAATTACAAATTTGAGCACCTAGCCCCCATATGAAGGAAATCCATGTATATAAAATAGAACATGAGAATCAGAAGTGATGGGGTGGTCTGTAGCCAACACATCAAAAGATCTTAGTGTGGGATAGTGGGCACCTTTTTGATGGATGTGGATTCACATTTAAGGCCTTGGGCAATAAAATTATCTGACAATCCATTAGCCTCCTTTTGAAATATAACAGTCCCTTGAAAAGTAAGTAGCACTACTCAAGTCTCCTATGGTCTTTGCTCTCAGTGAAAAAGAGAACATACTTGAAAAGAACATTGTTACTGCAATGTCAGCAAAAATACCATACTTAATGGTAAAAACAAAAAAGGAATCTGACTTAAAGGAAGTGCTGTGAATGTTAGGAATAACTGATTCAAAAACTCATTTGTGATTGTTTCCACATGAAGATTTTAGTATCTGATTGTTTCATTTGAAGAATCAATTTTGATGTTTCTATACAATCAAAATATTTTTAAAAATAGAAAAAAGTTATACACATGGTTAGGAACCTAAAATGACTGTTTTAAGAGGTAGTTACCTGAGTGCCCACTGCATGCTAATGAACTCGTTAAAAATATGATATGAAGTTTCAGTTTTTCTTCTCACTGAATACAGGAATTTGCCAACCTAAAGCAAGATGAAAATGAATAAAAAAGAGGCAGGGGCATAAAACTAGCATTAGCCTTCACAGTAGTTTCTTGTTTGTAAGCAAATGATAGCCACTTGACCTGTGTTGAAATATTTAGGTATTTTGCCCATCTTACATTTGAACTTTCAGACTTCTTTCTATTCACATTTGCTTACATGAACTGAGCCAGCTTTTTAAAAATGCATCGGTGATTTAATGGAATGAGCTATGTGTTATTTTCAAAAAGTAAATGATAATGACATAGACTCTCTGTAGTCAGCATTGGTAGGAGGAGTAGGAGGAGCTAACACGATGCACTTGCACGTGGTTAGAACAACAGGATAATTGGTGGAGGTTTCGTGGCACGTTTGAAAGCAAGACCTAAATTTGCTTGTGTTTAATTTCTTGCAGGCTGTTTCCAGCTCTGTAATGTTTTTCGGACCCATGAGATGGAAATTGAGCAGTGCTTGCTGGAGTCGCTCCCCCTGGGCCAGCGGCAGCGGCTGGTCAAGCGGATGCGCTGTGACCAAATAAAGGCGTACTACGAACGAGAAAAAGCTTTCCAGAAACGGGAGGGCTACGGGAAGAAGCTGAAACATGGAAAGAATCAACGAGTTCATTTTAATCTTGCTGATATGATACAGGATGCAATCATCCGTCATGATGATAAAGAAGGTACGTATTAATGTGCTGAGATATTTTCCTTTGTACAGTAGAAGTTTCAGAGGAAAAACTATCTTGTTCTGCTCATCTATCTTTAAGTAAAATGTAAAATACCAATCATAAAGTGATTGTCTCAATAAAATATGCAGGCATGTGTTGCATATAACATGTTACAACTCTTTACTGAAATGGTAAGGTGTGGAAAGTAAACAGAAACCCAATGGATTTATTTTGAGATTAATATGAACTAATATATTTCAAAACAAGTAAGGACTATGATTCTGTGATTATGCCTGGCCTCTTACATTCCTACAGGAGCCACAGAATTTAATACATGTTACTTTGAAAATTAGGTTCTCATTTTTAGCCAAAATTTGGAGTAAGGGATCCTGCTGTTAGTGACCTTGGTGTGTCTAGAGCAAGGAGGAGGTGTTGGCCCACAGTCACACCAGATAGAAGGTCATCTTTCTGTTTGTGAAATTATGTTTATATCCTTTTGAAATATGTAACCACACTTTAGGGCTCTGTTTTTAGGTTCCTGGCGAATCCATGGTGCAGCTGATTGTAACCTGAGGAATTTATGTACTCCTCAGAAGTGAACCAAACCTTGCAGTAAGAATTTCACAACTTTTAGAAGCCCCCAGAAATCCCCAGACTGTTGTGTAGTAGGGAGGGATATAAGAAAAGAACTAGTGCAATGTTGTTGGCAAGTCCTTTGCAAACAGAGTTTGTGTCAGTTCTTTGTAATCACATTAACGTAAAAAGGGGAGACTCTGAGACAGACACACATTGTGCAAAGAACTTGACAAGTTTCTCTTAATTTTTATCAGTTTGATCAGGTATGTCTTTTTTACTCACTCCTGAATCTTCATTTTATTGTGCATTTGCTCTATCATTGCTTATCACTCAGGTATAATCCTACACATTTAGACCTTTTCAATAAATGAATAAAAAAACTCTTCAAGTGAGTGTACAAGGCATCATTCATAACTAAATTTAGATAAAATTCACAACCTTTCATTCCACTCTCCTAGTGTGTGCAGGAATTATAAACAAAGATCTTCCTCCATGTCCCCAAAGCTCCAACTTTCTTTAAAAATCAAGCAGAATACCAGGTATGACTTTTAACATTCTGTAAAAGTCAGACACTTGAGGCTATTTTTGACATTCACACTGAAGAAATGTAGTTTGATTATTGCAGTGGTGGTAGGGCATCAACAGTTTTTTGTGTTACCTATACTTGGCCTTGAGCTGCACCTGAATCAGAATATAGAGTTCAGCAAGTGCTGAGACTGAATAATGTAAGCAGAAAGGGAATGTACCTCAGGCAGAGGAAAGTAAAATGGAGGAAAACCAGGAATGTTGTCCTGCACTTGAAACAGATAAAGCAGGTCCCCAGAAGCAAGGAGCTCAAATAGCCCACAGATAACACAGTCCTGAATTTGTGGCCAGTGGTTCTTTCCCAGGAGTATGAAAATGTGTGATTGTTGTCTTCAGACAGCTTGGGGACCTACAAGTGCCTGTCTGTTTTGTTTTTAGCCAAATGTTCCCATAACCTGTTTGTTTTGGGGTGAAAGATGCTACATTAAGATTTTTTATCATTAAAAAAACCCCAAAAAACGAACCAAAAACCCAAACCAAAACAACAACAACAAAGTTTCAACTCACAGACATGAAAGCTGCTTTCCTACTATTGTTGCTGAGTGGAACATCCAACCAGAATTCCTCAGTGAATATGCCTACATTAGAATTTCTGTTCAAATTAGACATATTCTTTTGTAATAAATATCACATCCGTTTACTGTGTTTGGTCGTGTTTATGGAGCATGTAACGTAGTTTCCTTTTAGGCAGAACTGTACTGGAAGATGTGGTCTGGAAGTACAGCTAGTGCCCCAAGACAGTAATGAGCTTTCAGTCCATAAGGCTCAGCTAGACAGAGCCTGAAGTAATCCCAGGAAGTAGTGGGCTATAGCTGGGGAAGTTAGGCTTTTGCTACAACCTGTTTCTCTTGTCTATTTAATCATATTTTACAATGTACTCAGCAATCAACAGCATTGGATAGGTGTAAAAGACAGCTAAGAAAGGTGTTCTGCAGCTCTATGAATGAAATGCAAAAAATGTAGTCTAGAAAGCTGAAAGAGGGCACAACAAAGGTGTAGCAGCAGTTGTCCAAGTGAAATCCAGGGGTTCAGTTTTTCTGAAGTATCATAAATAGACTGTTAGACTGACAGCACATCTTGAAGTGGTGAATTGTAGTTCTGGTTTGGTAGACGAGATAAATTGGATACATTACTATATATAGAAAGATGAATTTATAACATAGAGACATTTCACAAGTGAATCTGGTCAGAATTTCATTCTTACAAATTCATTGTCTTTGTTATTCATGAAAAATGTAAAATGTCTTCTCCAAAATTACTATAGCAGCTGCTATTGGGCACAAAATGTTACTGCATGCTAACAGGAGTGACCATTAGTTTGCTCTAAAATTCATTTTAGAATGGGCTTTGAGAAATTTTTATTAGTGACCTGCTTTGTCTCAAATTTATAAATTAAATATATGCTCATTTGATTTCTCAATGAGTTAAAAATCAGTGAAATTATTTAATTAACTATATATTTTTTTTACTATTCATAACTGTTCTTTAGTATTTTTTCTGACCCAGGGAGATTGAACGGGAATCCTCCTTCTCTGTCTCCTTGCAGCATCCTGTAGTTTCTCTGTTTTAAAGCAATATGGTTTTACTGCTGTTGATGGGCCACATTCACCCACACTACTAGCAGTGAGCATTTTGGGAGATTCTGCAACTATTATTCTCAGTGTTGACATGCATAGAAGCAGAATCTGATGAATAAGTGAACCTGCTGTTTTTTGACCCTGATTTTGTACATCTTTACTGCTGGCAAGAGAATACTTCTAGTTAATTTTCCTTTAAATACTATACATTTCTCTTCTGTGAGATAATAAATCCCTAATAAAAATGGACAGCAGGAAATTTGTCTTGCTGACAACAGTCGTATAAATGTACTGCAAAATGGGAGATGTATCCAAGCAGGTTTCTGCATCCCATTCCTTCCCAATGTGAACTAGGTATGCTTGCACCTACATGTGGCATTACCATGTGGACTCAGGTCTTTCTGATACACACACAAGTCAAACATCGGTATTTGCTGAGCCTGCACATCAGCTGAGACTCCTCTACAAGCAATTAGGAAATGAACCGAGCACTCAGGAAATAAACTGAGGGAGTCTCAGTCTGAGTTTCTGCTTCAAATACAAGGTAGTCGAATGAAATCCTTAGTATTTGGGCCTCTTGAGAATAAGGGGTATGCATCCTTCCTGAGGCAAAGGTGCAGTTATTGGCACTGACAGCACTGAGAAACAGTGAAAGATGTGATTTTTGGAACATGAGCTCATAGATAACCTTGCTACAATGAACACAGTAACTAAAAGTGAACCTGAAAGCCCTATACCTGAAATCTAACATGAGGGAAACTAAAGGACTAGCTTTAGTTTCTATAATCTTTTGGTATACTCTGTAACCCATCTTGTCAGTCATCCTGCAGAATTACTCAAGATGTAGGATTGTCAGAAAATCTTTGTATGCAGTAAGAATCTTTTGTTGTAAAACCTCTGAGTTGTGATGCAGCTATGATGTGTACCACAAAGTCTGCGGGCTGGCAGGTGGTGCTAGGTCGGGGTACAAAGTGCAGAGAGACATCAAATTCAGTCTGGAGACAAAAGAGGTACTCCTGTGAAAATCAGCATTACAAAAGGGAAATGCAGATTCCCTAAACCTATTTAAAGCCCATTTCATCCTTCTGATGAGCAATATGCTGATTCTGTGACAGCATTGTGATTCTAAATAGCAGCGATACCAGGGTGAGTGAGTGTTAGCATAATGCCGAGTCTCTAGTCATGATTCTTTGTTCTTTTGTAGTGACTCCCTGTTTTAGTCAGCCCCCCTCAATTCTCCCAGAGTTTATTCCTAGCCCTGCAGAGTTGCCCTGTGACTTTGCCTTTAGAGATAGAATGCTGGGATGTGATGGCTGGGGACAGCCTTACTCTCCCTTCTCTCACCAGGCTATGTCAGAAAAAGATGATTTTAAAAGAAGATGATATCAATATTCTACTTTTCCTGCAGTGTTCACTGCCGGGGCAGGTCTCCCAGGACTGGGTCCTAGCCCCAGCTGCTGGCTGCCGAGCAGTTTCATAGTGCAGGAAAGAAAACAGAAATCCTATCTCACTTCCCTGTGATGTCAGTATCACTAGCTGTTTGAAAGATGTATTATTATTGTGAGATTGGTAGTATCATGATATTTGAAAGGGTTGGAATAATCAATATTAATGGAAGGGTTTGGTATCATTAGTTATTTTAATGAGCACTATATAACGTACAATGCTATGATAAATTTCAGTTAAATTAATTAAAAAGGTGTGTAAGTGAGCATAAAAGGGGGTACAGGTGGGGCTGGTGCTAAACTGTAATTTACATCTGAACAACTCGGGGCTATAAAGAGGGCTCAGGGGAGGGGAAACAAAATCTATTCAGAAGAAGAATGTATCTTTAATTTAAGGTGGCAGATGAGTTGACTATTAGCTTTCATTAGGAGACTATATCAGAGATGTTATAATAATCCTTCCTATTTGTGGAAAAAATATAAAAATAATCTGAAACAGAAAACTGAGGCTGAAACTGAGCTGAAATAAACCATTTTTTTTATTATTATTTCTTTGCATTGCTTTCAAGTCTACTGATTTCTTATTTTTGCATCTTATTACATTAGGCTTGGTTATGCTTTACTGTCATTTTTCCAGTAGAAACAGCTTGGTTGGTTGCATACAAGATGTTCTGTAAAACAGTGGATTGCACTGACTGTGTCTGGCAGATATCTCAGGACTAGTTTACTGATCCTCAACAATCAGTTTTAACATTGCCAGCAGTCTTTTTGGAAAGCTGGAAGAAGCAGGATGTGGGCAGTAGTGACAAGTTGGTGAGTGCAAGGCTCC